GCGCAGCCGCAGCGCAGTTGACGGATCAGCTGTGTTTGTTCACACGGAGTTAGCTGCTGCTAGTTTTGCGCAACATGGCAGAACACTCATCAGGTGCTTCACGGTACAGTGTTCTTTTAAAGCAGGTGTGTCCCGGTGCTCGGGCGTATTCACCCGGTTAAAGGCTAGCTAACTTCAGCGGGCTAACGAGCAGCCTCGGAGCTAGCGTTAGCTTAGCGAACCGAGAGCGAGTTCCTGTTTAATCAACAAATCGGTTCTAGTGCTATTTAATGTGTTATTTAGAGGCTGTACTGTGGATGCCCCGATCACTTGCGTTGTGTGGATATACGCAGATCACGTGTGGATCTAAAAGTGACTCCAAACCTTCATGGGTGAGCAGATCTACAAACCGAACTTCTCCTTTAATGACTGACGAAGTATTAATCAGTCGATGTAAACATACATACATTTTCATTTATTCTTCATTTCCAGGCTGTTAGAATTTTTATTATTAGTTTTTTTTAAGGGGACTAATATTTATGAATGTGTAAAATGTGTGAGTTCTGGTTTTACTGTTAAAATGTACTTTTACATGTTGTGTTAATAAAGTATAATTAAGTTTTACACCACGTGGACGTGCATATTTCTTGTGCACATGCAGTAGAGGTAACTTTTGTGTGTGTGTGTGTGTTGTTTTTGCAACTCATTTCATTGGTTTTATATCTTGAACTGTTCTTCACAATCATCCTGTTTCGCTGAAGTTTATTTTGTTTGTATGTTTAAAGATTATCCAGTTCTTTGTGCACATACTGACAACATGTCCTCTCTTGTGTGGACATTATTTTCTATTAGAATGAGCTGGATGTGATTTTCTTTCTGTCTTCTTGTGTGTAGATGTGAAACAGACTCTCAGGCAGCGACCGGACATTTCTCAGTAATTATCCTGTGAGGCGATAAGGACACGCCCGGCTGGATCTTCTCCTCTGCGGACGGTGAGGAGGTGAACGCAGGAGGTGGAGGCTCGAAGTTACTTTAATCATTTCAATCTTGGGTTATTTGTCTTTTTCTAATTTCTTAATCACAGTGTCAATCTGTGTGAGATAGAGGACGTGAAAATAACGTCCTGTTTATTCTGTCGTTCCACCGGAGATGATGAGATCTGAGTCCAACCTCTGCAGCTGTGTGTACTGTACACACACACACACACACACACACACACACACACACACACACACACACACATCCCATCCCATCCCATCTCTGTTCCGTCCTGTCGTCCATCTGTCATCCCAGACTCTCTCTCTGATGACAGTCCTCACCCTTGTTGCACCACGTCTCTCTCTCTCTCTCCGTCGTTTTTCCTTTTCATTGGTTTGATTTGGTTTCAAGGTCACTCGGCTCCCTCTTTTTTCTTTCTAATTTTCCGCCACTCCTCCTTAATTCACTCCCTCATCATCCTCTCATTCTCCTCTCACCATTATCTCTCCAGACAAAAACCTCCTCAGGCTGCAGATGTGCAGGGAAAAGAAAAACAAAAATGGGCAGAGCGTTAATTCCTGGCATTCGGGACTCGCCCTTTGGGCCCGGACAGAATGAACCGTGGTCAGTTTGGTTTGGTCAGTGTTATTCATGCCTTTCAAAGTGACCACAAGTACCAGGCGGCTTTGAAGAGACGAGTACACAAACACGAGCTGGCACAGGCCTCGACCTCACTACTATATTTGAGTCATTTCTTCCCTCCCAGTCCTTTTCGTCCAGACACACACACACACACACGTGTACTGAGCGTGTTTGCATTAGCTCTGCTGCTGCAGGGAAAGCTCAGTAAACTAATGAACGTGTCAACGGGAAACGTTTTTACACTGTGCAACGCAAAAACTACCACTTCACAGCAGAAGGCCTCTTTTTTCCTAAAATTTGAGGGCGAGGCAGAAGTCTGACGTTTTCCATTCGGTGAAGAACAAACTTCACTGAGTGTGAAGAGGTTTGAAGGTTTTAGTGTTGCCAAAGGAAAAGTGACAAATGTAGAAAAAGGTAGAAAAAGGTTATGAATATGAATATCACCATAAATCATATCCTTATGATGCTAAAAATAAAAGTTAAAATCTCAAGTTTTTCATTAAACTCAATTCAAATGATGAAAAAGGACAAAAGTTGTCATTTTCTTGATTAAAATTCCGATAAATACTTTGTTTACTGGCACAATAACGTACTGAACATACATGTAAATACATCATCTATATACTAAACATACAAACTAAACATTAAAGCTCCAAGATTAGTTAATAAACCAGAAATTATTCCAAAACTCTAACTTTGCCTGTTTTATCTTTCTTTTCTATTTTAGCTGTTAAATTAACGTTTAATAAGATATTTGACTTGTTAGTAAGGAAATAAAATCCACTTAAAGCTCAGAAACCTTCACTGCACATCTGTCCCTCCGCCTGAGACCCAGCGTTGATCCTCTATGAAAGGAGGCAGTCATGAGAGGATGAAAAGATAGAGGGGTGGAGGTAAAGAGGCGAGAGAGGGATGAGGTCTCCCGGAGAGACCACTGGGAGGAGTGATGATGAGATGTGAGCAGGAGAGAGAGAGGGAGAGAGAGAGTTTGAAGACTTGAAAGAGAGGGAGAGGCTGGAAACTCCCTCACACTGCACAGCTCTGCTCTTGCACTCTGCAGCCGAGTGTGTGCACACGAGCTGCCGCTCACTTCAGGACTGCAGGAGGAAACCTGCGGCCTCTCTGGAGGACGACAATCAGGAAACAATTTCCTGGAGTTATCGTTTTTATATATACGTTGGATTAAGGAAGACATCTGGAGACGTGTGGGTGGGGAGCGGCCCTGCGTGCTGAGGGATGACTGGGTAAAAGCTTCCAGCAGTGGTTTGCTCTCTTGTGGCTTGAACTCACTGCAGGTGTGATCGACTTTATTTCCCCGAGAGGACGAGGAGAACTCCTCATATTTCACCTCTGATCTCTGCAGCACCTGCTCGAACTTCTTCAGAGGTCACATCTTCTGTTTGGGATCTGGTTCGTCCTCGTTCATGATCTGAGTTTCCCCTGCTGCTCGGCTGAGGGGTGAGGGAGATCAGAGGGCGAGGAGGGTTTTTCCTTTAAGATTGGAGAAGGAGCGAGGGAGGCAAAGAGGGGAGGGAAAGATAAACAGGCGGTTTAAGGCTGTAAACACGTCCTGTCCAGAATCTCTCCTCTAAACACGTCGAGGATAAATCAACGCAGGATTCATCTGAGGACACTGAGCTTCCTGGACTCTGGACCTGGATGAAGTCTTGATTCTAGAGGAGAAACCACAGTGATGGCCTCAGTCGTCTCCTGCAGCTTCTCCTGTCTCTGCACCAAAATGAAGAGGCAGCACTCGAGCATCAGCGGCGGCCTCCTCCACCGCAGGACCCTGCTCCTCTTACCCCTGCTCCTCCTGCTCTCCCTGTGGAGCCAGCAGGCCGAGGCCGTGGTCCACTCCAGCTTCCGGCGGCTCAGCGGCCGCGAGAAGAAGGAGATGCAGAAGGAGATCCTGTCCATCCTGGGTCTGCCCGGACGACCCAGACCCCACCCGCCGCTGCGTCCGCCCTCCTCGGCGCCGCTCTTCATGCTGGACCTCTACCACGCCATGTCAGCTGACGGGGAGGACGACGGGAATGAAATCATCCTGAACGCAGCAGGCATGGGGAGGTTCGGGGGGGCAGAGAGGTTGGCTCAGGTCAACCACGCAGCCCTGCCCACCCTCAGCACGCACACGCCACCGCTGGGGACGGTGGTCAGCGAGGCCGACACCGTGATGAGCTTCGTCAACGTGGGTGAGTCGTGTTTCCTCCCTTCGGGTCGTAGTGAGTCAATCACTTGGTTAAAGGTGCAGGGGGAAGATCTCTACAGGTGTGAAGTGTAAACAAATAGGTTAAGTCAAATGATTCTGAGGGAAATATACACGAGGGTCCTGGGGAATTGTTTTCTATCTTTAAGTGAATTCAGCTGCAGCAGATAAAATATATGCTCATACACACTTTACAACAATAACACATTATATTACAATTACATCAATATAAGGATAAATAGGTTCAATGAGAGCAACACAGACAAACAAACTAAATAACAAACAAACCAAGTAACTAACACACAAACAGACAAACAAACACATAAACTAACTAACAAACACACAAACACATCAACAAACAAACAGACAATGAGACAAACAAACAAACACATAAACTAACAGACAAACAAACAAACACATAAAATAACTAACAAACAGACAAACAAACACATAAACAAACAAACAGACTAACTAACAAACAGACAGACAGACAGACAAACACAAACAGACAAACACAAACAAACAAACAGGCAAACAAACAAACACAAACTAACTAACTCACACACAAAGATACAAAGAGACAATGAAACAAACAAACAGACAATGAGACAAACAAACAAACAATGAAAACCTCTTAATAATCTAGTTTTTGAGTTTTGAGTTTTACTTTTTCTCAGTTCAGAGAATTTCCAGAGAAACTGTGATAAAAGTTGTTTCATTAACTTTGATTCATGATTCATTGAGTTTTATCCAAACAGAAAAATGTTCATTAGCTTCGAAGCAGCAGATTCATTTTTAAACTTCACGCAGCTTCTTGTTTAATGATCCAACATGAATCCACGATATCATCGACCTCTCCTTCCATCTCTTGTCTTGGAGAGGATCCGGATCTTCTCTTCTGAGTGACAGAGCAGTTTTTGACTTCGTGGTTTGGCATCGAAACTTAAACTCCGAGGAGATGAAATTACTTTGCGTGAACCCGATGACACCGACATGTCCCTGCTGCCATTTTAGTTTCTGTGCCACAATCATTTACCGCCACAGAGAGAATTCAAACCAGTGTCACTGCAGTGGGTTTCCATTTCAACCCAAAGTCCTCCGCTCCGCGTCATGTTCGATAAACAACTCTTTAAAAATGTGACGTTGGAGAATTTGATTCTCAACCAGAAGAGTTTGGATTTTTACTCCCAGATGTTTTAATCTCCGTGAAGTTTTCACCTCTGTCCGGTTGTTTTTTCGTCACCAAGATTATGTCAAAACCTCTGGACAGATGATCATAGAAAGAAATCATGAATCCAGTTTCTGTAACTTTGGATTTTTTGACAGAGAAATCTTTCTGTCTGTTCACCAGTCAGATGAAAATATATAAACCTGAAAACAACTTTCAGGTTTCATGATAAAACAAATAGTTTGACAACTGATATTTAAGATATTTTACACTTTTATCCCCAAAAGTACAAGAATCATTGTCGGACTTTATCAACCAGAGTCCGTGTGAAGGTATGAACTCCACATGTAAGCAGCCCGAGTGATGCCAATCTGTCACAGCGTCGAAATTAAACATCCTGGTCTCGATGGCTTCCTTCCTGCAGCTCTTCTCTCTGGAGTCCTGCTCATCGTGGGAAACACGGCCTCAGCTCAGGGTCTTTAATGAACTCACATCAAATTAGAGGTTTCCATCTCCACAGTCTTCTGTGTTATGGAGAAGAAAATACACCCTGAAATTTATCAGTCAACACTGCAGAAACATTTCATCCCCTGAACCCACCACGATGCTGTAAACAGAGGTGACTCATGTGATTCTCAGTGTTTCCTTCGGCGAAGCTGTTTTACTGTGAAACTCTTCAAACGCCAGTAAAACCAACTTCAGATTAAAGTGAAGCTGAAGCTCTGAAACCTCCATCGAGGCCCCGCGGCCTCCTCCTGGATCCAGATTATTTAAATGAAGCCTGAGAGGATCTCAAAAGATGTCTCAGGATGTTCAAGTGATTTTAAAACATTTCTCAATTTGCTTATTTTGTCCAGATTCTTGAGGTTTCATCCTTCAACTGAAGTTTTGTGTTTCACACCGGTGTTTTTAAATTCAATCAAGCTTCACCAAAACACACATAGAATTCAGTCCCTGAAACACGCCTGATTTTTAAAAATCATAATTATTCTCTCGGTAAATGTAAAAAGTTCAAAAGTCCGGATCCACACCATCATTGAAAAAGTTCTTTCTTGGTCCGTGTTCCTTCTTTCCACCAAGTTTTGTGGAAAGTTTTTGCGCAACACAGCCGACAAACAAACCAAACTTCACACGCTCATGAATTATTCTGAGAAATCTGTGGAAATCTTCAAAACCAAAGAGAAAAAAAGAAATTTGCTGAGTTGAGTTTTGTGGAAATTTGTTCGGTAAATTTTATTTATATAAATAAATAAATATACAAACCAGCCTCTGTGTTAATAACCACAGGCTCATTGTGTGTTTGTTCACAACCTGAATACAACACGCATCATTTCCATTCTTGTGTGATTTAGATTTTAATCATCACCTCAAATCTGCAGATATGAAACATTCAGATTCTATTCCTGAAACTGATTGAATCTGTGTGTGTGTGTGTGTAGTTCATGTAAGTTGATGTGTGTGGGTGTGTGTGTTCCTACACAGATGTAATGGGAACACACAGCTGGTTAGAATTAAAGGCCCCACTGACACACACCGGAAAAAAAAAAGCTAACGGTCCGAAGCGAGATGAAAATACTGGTGTGGAGGAGCGACGCTAAAAATACCAGGCAGGCCTGCAATTAGTGGTGTGTGTGCTGAGCAGCTGCTGAGGTTCAGAGCACTAAGTGTCTCTAATTACTGTGTGTGTGTGTGTGTGTGTGTGTGTGTGTGTGTGTGATGATACGAGTGCACCCAACCCATCAGGGTGTCCAATCCTCAGCATCTCTATTTATCATATATTCACCATTTGTGTGTGTTTGTGTGTCCTTGTGTACAAAAAAACCCAGTTACCAAAAGCTGTTTCATGTCCCTCTGAGGTTCCACAAGGACACACACACACACACACACACACTGTTTGATGTGTGTATTTACTGCAGGAGTGTGTGTTCTCTTCATTTGCGTCCTGACGTGTTTCGGTTTCGTTGTTTTTCAGCTTGAGTTGTTTAGTTTTTGCTTCTGTTGATTTAAAACCGAGAACGTTTGTCACAGTAAAGTAGAACGTGACAGAACCGTCTGCTGCCGATGTGCCCTTTAGCAAGGCACCGTCTCCTTCAGGTTAAATAAAAATTAAAAAATAAATATTTTCCAGTTGTTTTTCTTAATGTTTCAGGATTTAAAGTTTTAATGAGAATGTTCAACTTTAATTTCATTCAAAGATCTTGATGATAAAAATCCAGTTTCTCTCTGAGTTTCATAACGTCGCCACTGAAATGAAATTTTATATCTTTGAGTTTTTGGAGCAAAACAAAAGATGGAAAAAGAAAATCTAACAATATGTTTGTGTGACCTCTGTCTGTGTCTGTGATTTATTTGTGTGTCTGTGTGTTTGCAGTGGAGCAGGAGCGTGACCTCCTGCAGCCTCGTCCCTACTGGAAGGAGTTTCGTTTCGACCTGACGCCGCTCCCTCAGGGGGAGACGGTGACAGCGGCCGAGTTTCGTATCTACAAGACCCTGACGATGGGTCAGAGGGCAAACAGAACTCTGCACATCTCCGTCTACGAGATCCAGCGAGAGAACAGACACAGGTTCCATCTTTCTCTCTCCGTCATTATTTAGTGTTGAGTGATAAGTTGCCAGATAATGACAAAGAAAACAAATCAATATTTTCCTCTCTCACCCTCTGTTATAATTAAATCTGTGATGACTTCATTTGTTTAACATTGTTGTTGAAGTTTTTTAAAACTTTAATGTGTAGTTTTCGTGTTCGTTAGTTTCTCCTCCTCTGAAAAATCTCAGTAAATGACGGATTCTCGTGAATCTTTGGTTCAGACATTAAAGATCTGTGAGGAGGATTCTCCTGACCTCTCCTCTGGCGCCACCATGAGGTGACTGACGTTCATGTCCTCTCCTCAGGAGAAAAAAATGTTTCCAAAACTACTCATGACGATAATCTCACAGGTTTTAGCTCCACTTTGTGTTCGGTGCTAATTAACAAATGTATAGAATAAGATTGTAAACACCTGCTGAACATCAACGTGTGTTCAAGGAGTTTTTAAACAAGTTTATTTGATGTTTCTTGAAGTATTATTTGAAAATCACTTCATATCTGAGACCTAAATTAAATGAATCATCCTTTAAACAGATTAACACGGTTCAACACGTCTTAGTGAATATTTATCTTAATGAAGTCAAAGTAAATTCACTTTCAATCGATCGTAATGTTCTTTATATTTCTGGTCAGGGAGCCGGAGCTGGTGCTGCTGGACATGCAGTCGGTGCCGGCAGGACAGGAGGGCTGGTTGGCCTTCGACGTCACCACGGCCTCCAACCACTGGCTCCTCCACCCGCGCAGCAACCTGGGAATCCGTCTGTACGTGGAGACCGAGGAGGGTGAGTGCGGCACCACTGAACCATTAGAATGTTTGTTTCTTTGAACTAATGAATCTGAATAAACGTTTCTCCTGCAGACCGCTCGCTGTCCGCAGGCTGGATCGGTTTGGTGGGTCGCAGGGGTCCTCGCTCCAAACAGCCCTTCATGGTGACCTTCTTCAGGGAGAGCCAGGTCCCGTGTCGGCCGCCCCGCGCTGTAAAGCCTCACCCCCGCAGGAAGAAACCCAAATATGACCTCCCAGTTCCCAGCATTCATAGTAAGATTCCAGGCGCCCACACTCTGAGGGTTTACAGCTCAGTTCTCACGCTGTAATGTTTGTTTTTGTGTCTTTACCAAGACTGGAAATGTGGAAATCATTTGTAATTCAAGGCCTTTATTTTGTTGGTGATTGGCAGGATAATTATGGTTACATGATGTTTTTCCTGCTTCAGATCGGAGTCCTGCAAACAACGGAGGTCAGCCGTGTAAAAAACACGAACTGTACGTCAGCTTCAGTGACCTGGGATGGAAGGTCAGCTCCGAATCTTACTCTTCTTTAAAGACGCACAGGAAGTCGTTAAGTTTCAAACTCAAGCAGCAGATTTAAATCACCAGATAAATCATTTTGCATCAAGATCGATTCGATTTATTCTTTCTATAAAAACAGTCCCGTGTTTTATTGACGCTGGACAATCTCTTATTTTATGTCGACTGATCAGAAAAGAATTTCCTGAAACTATATTTGTGTTGCTCTGCTCAGGACTGGGTTTTGGCTCCGACCGGATACTCGGCCTACTACTGTGACGGAGAGTGTTTCTATCCTCTGGGCTCCTGCATGAACGCCACCAACCACGCACTCATCCAGCAAGTGGTCAGTAGTGACGACACACGTGACGACACACGTGAGAAACTTCTCTGCTGATCGAACGTCGTGATAAGAGTTGTGACAGAAAGTGTCTGTGTCTGTGCTGGCAGGTTCACCTCCTGAAGCCGGATGAGGTTCCTAAAGCGTGTTGCGCTCCCACCAAGCTCAGCCCCATCTCCGTCCTCTTCTACGACGACAAAAACAACGTCATCCTCAAGAAACATCGGAACATGGTGGTGAAGACCTGCGGGTGTCTATGATGACAGGTTCCAAAACTAAACCCAGCCTCAGACTCTGATTCCACTGTGCCGGGATCACTTTGATCCCTTTGATCACTTTGATCCGCCGGACGTGGACGTGACACGTTGAAGTTCAGATTTTTACTGAAAAGCTTTCACACGTTTTCAAGAAATTTGTTCCCAACTATTAATTTTCGATCCGTCCTCTCGCTGAATCTAAATCTCTGAGATCGACCGTCAGATTAAAGCTCAGTCCGCTCCACTGTTCGGAGCAAAGGTTGAAGCACGGTGACTTCTCGAGAACAGTTAAATATTAACTTCATCAAACATTAAAATGTTTTTTACACACCACTGTTTTTACAAGTTTCAGTTCCGCAGATGGCAAATGATGTAAAACGGCACAACACGCCGTTAGTGATGCCTGTTTTGTTTTTGTTGTTGCAACATAAATCTATAAGAAGAGAATATTCAAATGTATTCAACTAATAAACATATTTACATTATCTTAACTTGTGGAAACAGGAAACTGACCATTAAAGTACTTTTTTCATTCTACACAAATAAAACTGAGAAGACCAGTCACATTAAATACATTGCTGATTTATTCAAAAGGGTAAAAAAAAGAAGAAAAAAAAAAAGAAAGTACAGTGAAAGCAAATTCATGAAGTTTCTTTGTCTACAACTGGGAATGATTATTTTTGGCCGTTACGTAATTAAATCTAAATGTTTTCGGTTCTTGAGGCTACGTCAAAAAACAAAAATGGAATTATTGCAGCGATTATTTAGAGAAAGTGGCCGAGGAGGTTGACGCTAAAATAAACACAGAAGTAGAAGAGTTTGGGAAAAAGAAAATAGAAATGTTATGAGACTTGCTGTACGGTCGAACGTGAGGTACTGTTGTAAGGTGTTACTGAGCGAGGGCACCCGTGGAGCAGCAGCACAGACGAGGCGAAGCTGTTGGGTCTGTCGCTTCTTCTCGGACATTAACCGCCAAACATTTCAACGCTTTGTCCCTTTCAAATGTTTTGACCCAACAGCAGAGCCATGTCCGCTGTGGAGGAGTGGAGGAATCTATAGCGGGGGCTTTGAAACTGCCGTTTATTCCTCTGGACGACAAACTGTGCAAGTACAACCGAGTACTTCCCATCGTAGCTTTTTCAGACCTGTCAACTCTCCCCATCATCAGCCACAGCGTAGCTTTGTTCAGTGTTAGCAGGAAATCTTGCTGGTTCTGCTCCCTCCCCCCAGATCTGGAATAGCAAGGTAGTTGTACACAATAAATATATAAAAATGGGCTGGTGGTGTACTACTGCCCCGTCGTTATTGTTTTCTCTTACGCAAACACACACGTACGTACACAGCACATACACACACATCCACCGACGCCCCTCCGTCCGTCCCCATGTCCACGATTAGTGTCAGGTCCCAGTGTTCTCCGTCAACTTCCCTCAGGTGCTCAAGGTTTAGTTTCTGGTCATCGTGTTTCTGCAAGCAACAGTGTTTGTTGTTCTTTAGTAAAAAGCTTCAAATTAAATAGTAAATGTTACAAAAATTCAATTATTGTGATTGCACAATAACGATCAGATAACGAGCAGCGCAGCAGGAGTCGAGTTGGACTCACCAGGGTTCAGGTCGGCTGCAGGTGACGATTCCTTTATGCCTGAACGTCGGCCAGCTCAGGAGGCATCGGGGACTTGGGGTGTTTGCTCTCAAAGTGCTGCTTGAAAGTCTTGGGGTCAGGCATTTGAGTCTGAAGGGAAAAAAAGAATAAAAGATATTTAACTTTTTCATCATGTGACAAGATTGCTCTCCGGTTATAAATGATAAACTTTGTGACACTTTCAACTACGTTACGATCGAAAGGTAAGAACGAGTCATGATATATTAAAAGCATCAAAAGAACCTGAACACAAGGAGCAAAGTTATTAAATCTATAAATTATATTAATAAATATGTTTGACATGAAAACAACAGATCAGATTAAACTTTCCCTGGATTCCTTTCATTTTAAAGAAGGTGTTTGTCGCACAGTACGAAAGCGTGTTGCGTTCACTTGAAAAAAAAACCTCCGGTTTTTCTGAGTAATTTATTTTTTGGTTTGTTTTTTTCAATAATTTTTTCTGTTTTTTGGACAAATTTTTTTTCTAAGTTAAGAGAAAATTTGAAACAACAGATGCATTCATTCCTTTACTGAGAGCTCGATGTGATGGAAACAAACACGACCGGCTTGTTCAGTTTAATCAAGTTCTACTTTGATCTGGTTTAAGACACTGGGAGATAGTCCTGTCTTTAAGTTATATCGATGTATTATCATATGTTTGTTTCAAATGCTCTCTAAACTCAGAAAAAAAGGAGTCTAAAAAAACCGAAGAAAAAAATTTGTCCGAAAAAGAAAAAAAAATTTGTCTGAAAAACAGAAAAATTATTCAAAAAAAAAAAAAAAAAGTTATTACTCAGAAAAACCAGAGGTTTTTTTTTCAACTGAAGGCAATAAGCTTCTGTAGCATGGATACGTTCTTCAATAAAACTAATTTGACCTGAAGCTTTGTTTTTCTTGTTCTTCTGCGTCTTTGTAAATTTTAATGTTGACATAATCTGCATATTTTTTATTGAATCTGTGCCGAACAGTCTTATTTCACCAAAACACGTCATTTACCAGCAAACACCACAAACATTTGAGTGATATTCTTCATTTGACTCTGACAGATGAACTGAAACCGTCTGTTTCACAGGAGTGGAATAAAACAACCGAGCTATGGTAACATCTGTCTAAGCTACAACCTGAGGACTCGTGATGCTGGAGTGTTGTGTTGTGTTGAGTTGTGTAGTGCTCACCCGGCAGACAGGGCAGGTGTGGACCAGAGCAGCTTTAGCCGCAGTCTTCTGGTCGGCGCCCTGACCTTTCTTCTTCTCTGCTGCCTTCTTGGCGTTCTTCTGCTGGGACTGAATCTTCTGCTGCCCTCGAGCCATGGCCCTCAGCTTTGACCTGCGGGAAGAAAAACCAAAGAGACAACAGGTTTAAAACTGTGAAAACTTCCACCACATCAATCTCGTCCTCGTGTGTTGACTTGAACAGAGAAGTGTAAGATTCATCTATTCATCCATTCGTATAGATGATAGACTTCAATCATATTGTTTGACCTAAATAACGTCAAGAAATAGCGTAAAGTCACAAAAAGCTAAATTCTTTTACAAGCAGTTTCCTTAAAAACTAAAATGTCTTGAAATGTTTTCAAGCCCAGAGGTTCTGTTTACTCTCACACTAAAGACAACGACCGGACCTTTGAGGAACTAGAACTACAGCGTGCAGGAGAACTGCAGTTTTCTGTCGATGAACTCATTGACTAACAAACTTAAACAGTCGGAACATCAGGGAAATAAAACTCAAAAACGAAGCTTCAGTCGAATCCAAACCTCGATTGACACAAACAGGCGCCTTCACCTTGTGTTAATGTGTCATGGTTAAGTCATTAAACTGGTGTAGGCGTGTTAATGTTGTTTATATCGTTATAAAGACACTTTCAGATCCACACACATTATTTAATACACGGTTCAAAGTTATACCTGTCACAGTGTTTCAGATCTCCACCAGCAGAGAAGAAGTACTCTGACAAACACGTTTACTGTCAACCACACCTGACATCAATAAACTGAACCTGGACCAGCACAGGATTTCTATTGACTCGTTTAAACGTTCCCAGGCTTCACTTCTACAACCGGTTCAACAACAAACCAGAGTAAAACTGCATCCAACACGTTTCTAATCCTTTAAACCTGCAGATCGAGTGTTAGACTTCCCTGTGGGGGGGGTTACACTTGTAACTGCATGGTGTTTCCCACGTGGAGCCACAGAAATCGACTCATTCATCGATTAACACGAAGAACAATCGATCAGTTCGATCACAAAACGTCAACATCGTCCAAACAGGCCTCGGATCAGCCGGCGCCGCCTTGCTAACTGTTAGCCGGGGGAGCTAACGACATGTGAGCGAGTTCCGGAGAGACTCAATGTCGCTGGGGGAGAAAGTGAAGCGTTTCCGGTGGAAGTGAAAGTTTTCTCACAGACGAACGAGCCGCGGGTTTTTAATGAAGAACAGAAACACGTCGCACGAGCTGTTTACCTTCGAGCTGCGTCTCCCTCTGAGCTTTGTGTCGATGTCGGTGTGTGAAGGAAGCGGAAACCACCGAGGGGCGGAAAGAGTGAGGGGCACAGAGAGCAGCGCCACGAGTGGTCAGGAGGCGAACTGCACCTTCAGAGACAATAAATAGATTCAATAAAAATGATAAAATAGAGAGATAGAATAAAAATAATAGAAAGATAGAGAGATAGAATAAA